CTTAGCCCATCGATTAATTCTTATTATTGATGGTGGACATTGTGAATTTTGCATTACCAGATGCTAAATTTTGTATTATTCTTTAAAGGATATTGGGCTTTGTCATGATAAGTCATTAAGTTATTCGCAGGTGAGTTTGGTACTTCAGAAACTTTCCTATTGCACATTTTAGGGTAAAATGTGAAAACCAGTCTTGTCTTAAGTGGTGGCCCTTGTGGGCTGCCAGTTGATGTCTCCCATTTTCAGTGAGATCCATCTACTCTGGCTGTGCGAGTGTCAGCAACCCAGGCCCTGTGTGTGCTCACAACTCCCCAGCAATCGCTGTCTCCCAGGAGGTTGTTTCTTGCTTGCCCTCTAATACCCCTGGTCTTTAATTTCCTGTCTATCACAGGGAAGCAAGAAACCCAAGCATAATTAACAAGTGTAAATTTAATACCTGTTGAGAAGAAGAAATGTGTTGTTTTGTTTTTGTGAAATTTTGTACCACACAGAATGGAATCAAGAGTTGAGACACTATTGAAGCCGGATCAAAGATGTAGGGCATTTGCCACCAACCAAAGTACCCACAAAATCCTGCATTTATAGCCTTGTGATAGCATTAGACATGCATTAAAAAGGATCTGCACCCACCCAGACCATTTCAGGATAACTTGTCATAATTATATGAACCAAAGAGAATGCAAGCACAGTGATGTGACAAAAGCAAATCAAGTGATTTCTACCATTATCTCAGATGTATTTTTATGATGGACAAGAGACTGAAATCTTTAAGGCATGTAAACTTTTAATAATTCTTTAATTTTATTACCCTTCTGTTAATAAGGAAAATGCCTTGGAGGTTTTAAAAATTGCTGTTCCTGTATCCTTTGAGAATGAGAAGATGACCAAGAGGTCTGAGCGTGTTTTTTTGGAGGGGAATCCCCTATCTAGTCCCTATCTTTCCAGGTGAGTCATTTTCATAAGCTGCATAGTGTTGGTCTGAGAATGCATTTTATGTGTACTGTATCAGTGTGTTATAAGTGTGTGTTGTGTTTGAATGTGTACTGTGTTTATTATGTATGAATTTATGGATTGTGTATTTAAGTACATTGTGAGTGTGTATTGTATGTGATATATGTAAGTATGCACTGTGATTGTGCTTGCCACGTTTGTAAGGCATAAGTGTGCATATGTGTGTGTTATGTGCTGTGTTGTGTCAGTACTCAGAGCAGACTGCAGTGTGGTCATTTATAGTGAGTGACCTCACAGGAAACTTTCTATGCAGATATTTTTGAGTGTTGGTGAGGGCAGCAAGGCAGTCTGAGGACAACAGGACAGTCCTGTTTGTGATATTCTAGCTCCCTCCCACCTGGGCTGGATAGTTGAGAAGTAGCCTTTTTTTGTTTGTTTGTTTGTTTTTTTTGCCCCTGTGAAGCTCCTCCTTGTCTTCCTATTTGGAACAGAATTATATAAAGGTCTCCTCATTTCTGTGTGAACAGTACTTTAAAAATCATTTTCCTCTGCTCCCCTCCACTTTCCAGCACTTTCCCAAATCACATCCATTATTTTGCTTTTTTCTCTTGAGGGTGCAACTTTGGCAAATTCACACGTGAGCTGAGCCAGTCTCCCTGGTCCACAAAATCGCATGTGTACAGCGCCACCTCATGCACAAGAGGCAGAAGGCCCAGTGTAAGACTCAAGTTTTTCCACTTTTGAAGCAGGTCATCTATGTGATGTTTGGGTCACAAGGCAATAGGAAGAAAAGTTGTTACTTAATTCATGGACTTCAATCATATTTGCATCTATAGAACTACAAGTTTCAAAGAAAAAAATGTGTCTTGCTGGCAGTTCAGTGCCTATTAAGCAAGGGAACAAAAACATCCTTTCCATGCTCAGGCAAGCAGTGGGTCTCTGGAGCTCACACGTGCTCATACCCAACCTAAGTAAAATGCTTTTTGGTTTTCAAATAAGTGTTTTCCTACAGACTTCCTGCAGTAGAATTTGATTCGGGTTTCTTATGGAAAGCATTCCTCAGTGAATGAAGTTAAAACATTTTAGAGGAGACATTAATGAGAATACTTAGGCTCTGGACATCCAGAGCAGTGCAGTTATGTGTCTAGAGGCTGCATCACTAGCCTGACTTCTCAGTAGGCAAATAGTGCCAGCTTGGACCCACAGTGGGGTATGCAACACTGTTGACAGTAGCTCTCCAACCATAAATAGGAGCAGCCGAGGCCAGATGGCCACGGGGACCTGGAAATTTTATCTGCATGTGTGAGGTCAAATGATGGACAGATTCAGCATTAACTTCTACCATCAGCCATGATCACAGGAACTTTTAAATAAGGTGTGCACCACTGTGCTGTCTTCTTTAGGAGAGAACAGAAGATGCAAGGCAACCAGAGCTGGGCCATGTTTGTGCATTCATGTGTTGACACCTGCTTCCTGGAATTTTATGGCCACATGGATCTGACAGGGCTGCTATATTTAATAATAAAACAGATGAGCACTCAAATTCTCTTTCCACTTTCAGCAGGAGGATGCAAACATGATTGAAGTCCATTAATTTGGCAATAATTTTTGTTCCTATTGCCTTGTGACCCAAACATCACATAGATGACCTGCTTGGAGCAGTGGCTCCAGGGATTGATCTAATTCTCAGGATTTGCTCATGAAGTTTTCATGGATGCAGGAAGCATCTGCGGAGCTCCTGCCTTCCTTTCTCTGGGTATTTTTCATTCTTCCTCTTTGTATCAGGCTCTGGCTGTTCTTACTTTTTTCCCAGAGAGCTTTCCTATTTCCATTCCTGCTCTGAACTACTTAGCAAGAATCACCAAAATTTAGAGGACTCCATTCTTCCCACCTGGTAGGTGTGACTGGTTTGAGACAGGTCAGAGTGGGAGAATTGAGTCCTCTAAATTTTGGTGGTTTTTGCTAAGTACCATCATGCAGAACTGCAAACAGCCTGTCCAGAGCCAGATCCTCACACTACCAAAGCACTGTACTGCTTCCTTCCCTGATGTGGCTCATGGTCCCACAGGTGGCCAAGTGTTCCACTTTAGCCAAACTCTGACCCTTCTCTCCTGCAGCCACACGTGCTCAATATGGGGGTTGTAAGCTTCTCTCATTGACTGGCTCCTTTCATTTTTGCTGTAAGAGCTGATGACATTTTATTTTCAGGACTTAAATACTTCCTGGTTGACCTACTGTACACATCACTGTCATGATGAACATGTGACCCTCTAGTGGACTGAGCTTGTGCCCCGTTTTTATATGGAAGACCCTGCCCCCCAGCACTTCAGAATGTGACTGTAATATGATATGGATCTTTGAGGTAACCAAGTTAATGCGAGGTTACTAGGTCATTGGTGGGAGCTCTGATTCAGTAGGCCTGGGCTCTCTTTTAGATGAGGAAATTAGGACAACCACATAGCCACAGGGAGGTGATGGCCATCTGCAGGCCAAGAGGGAGACTTTAGAAGAACCCTGCTGACAACTTGATCAAGGATTTGCAGCCTCCAGACAGCCTCTGGACACAAACTGCAACATAAACCTTCCAACATTTGCACTTGGCAGCTTCCACAAATATGTGAGCCACTTTCTTAGAAATCTCTTCAAAGACATGTATCTTCTCAGTTCAGTCTCTCTGGAAAATCCTATTATGTACTCCAAATTATAACCTGCAGTTGCTTGTTTTAAATACCAAATACAGGGTCAGATCCTTAGGCCAGCATTCAAAGTCCTCCACAATCCAAATATAGCCTATACCACTCTCCTCAGCTACCTAGGGTGAACATGTTAGCATGTTACAACTTCTATTACATTTATTGAAAAACAATTAATGTTTAACATTTTTTTCCCGTGTTTAAAAGTACAGACTAAGCCAGGCATGGTAGTGCACACCTGTAGTCCCAGCACTTGGGAGGCTAAGGCAGGAGGACCACTGTGAGTTCAAGGCCAGCTTGGGCTACAAAGTGAGTTCAAGGCCAGCCTGAACCACATAATGAAACCCTGCCTCAAAAAAAAAAAAAAAAAAAAAAAAAAAAAGCATACAAGCACGGACTATACTCTTGAGTTTTAAAAGCATGGGTTATGCATGCTTATTTTAGTATCATCTCATTTTACACTTAGGGACTACCCCACTGTATTAACCGCTGCTAGTTAACATAATACATTAGTTTTAAATAAGCATACACTGATTTCAAGACCTTTTAACTTTTTTCTAAGAAACTACATTAACTTTAGATACCATTTAGAAAGTGCACATGTAACCTGCTTGACCTCTATATGCTTACAGTCACAAAAGGTATGACAGTACATGGTGATGACACACATAGGCTGGGTCCTGAGAAATTTACCAAACTTTTCTGTCACATTTCTAATGAACTAGATGTACTACTGTGTAGCTTACAAGTCTTTTTACAGAGAATTTCAGGACGTGTCTCAGACCCTCTAAGAAGGTCACTGATGCTTGGCAGATGTAACACAGATATTAAACTTCATTTCCTCTTTCTTATACAGCAGGGTGACGCAGGGGGCTTTCATGTTCTCCTGTCTTGTATCCCAGCTCACCAATTCCCTAGCTCCTGGGGAGAATTACCACATTTTGGGTGATGTTTGAAATTCTTTCAATTTCAACAGGTTAACAATTAAGATTAAAAAACCAATTAAGATAATTCATAACTCACCTTCCTACAGCATCACCAGAGATGTTGTTCTTAAACTAATTCCACTCTACAGAAGTATGTCTTCCAAAAGCCCAGTGATCAAATTCTCACCACAAAACACAACTTCTCAGTGTGTGTATAAAGCAAACATTTTACAGAAAATATTCCCTCATAATTTTCTTTACAGCATTCAATCCTGTGTTCTTCAATTTAATGAATTTAGCAGGGTAATTACCTGGCTTATTAAGTACTAATCATCTTTACTAACACATTTTTCCTTATGGTATATAAAAGAACCATTACAAATCACTGTCCCAATCATCAGGAGTAGATCAAAGCCATGGAACAAACAGAACAGCTATAAAAATGTTTATTAGAAAAATAGACAATGAATGTAAACAATCTATCTCACAGAGTTTATAATACAGCATATCAGGCCCATTCCTCCAGTCTCTGCAGGGAAGCACCTTAATTGTTCAGAAACAGCAGTCAGCTTCATTGATCTTTTGGCGAGCTATTAAGCCTATGTGAAAATAATAAACAGATTCTTCTAAGTAGACCACACATAAAAAAGTCACAAGTGTCCATGTGTCATAGCAATAAGTGACTATTTGCAGTAACACGTGGGGTGAATCTTCATATCGCAATTATCTAAATAACAAAGCTTCATTTCTAACCTTATCATAATGGAAGAGCTGACCTGGAGCTGGGACAGAGCAGAGAGGGACAAGACAGATGGACACCACGCCCACTCACACTCAAGCGTCTCATCCATCCAGACTTCACATGCACACCTATCACACCCTGTTATCACACACACACACACATATCTGACATTACTCACACCTGCCATACACACACGTGAGGGGTGTCCTGGCAGGAGCAGAACTGAGGAGAGAGTCCACACCTGTTCTCTTATACACAATTATTTGGGGCATTGAATCCATTTCATTTTTAGCTAGAAGCTACATCCTCCAAATGACTTTTGTATAAAGCAGCCAACCAGATGTTAAATATGATGAAGTTTTGAGGAAAGCAAATCATTATTATATAATCTAGTAACAAACAATTCAAAAATGAAGCCAAATTGTAGAACAAACAATAATACCACAAAACATGATAAGCACACAAGTCTTTGCTGTAAGAATCTGAAATGCAGGGTTGTTTTGTTATGACACAGTGCTATATGAGTGCTGTCCCTACTGGTGCAGGGACACTTCTATGCAGTGACTAAAATTTCTTCACACTTGATTTAATTTACCTTAAATTGCTGCAATTGCAGTTGAGTAAACCTTAACCAAGTTAAAATTTTAAATGAAATAGCAAGAATTGTAGTTTAGCTCTTCACTGCATGTAAAATTTTAAGCATTTATTGTCTGCATTGGAATAACCGTAACCTAGTGACAGAAGGGAAACACAGCAGGTCAGAAACCCAAGCAAAATCCCCAAGCTCTTGCAGAATGTTTCCTGTCCCAGTAATACTGCAGGCCATTTGTATGATTATAAAAGTGACCCATAAATATCTTTCACTCATTTAAAATCTTCATCTGATAATCCAAGACACATTTAACAATTCTAGAAATAATCTATAATAGTTATTTCCACCATAAATGCTTATTACAATAGATGTCCAACATCCACAATTAAATGAAATGTAAAGTAATAACAAAAAGAATTTAAATTCTTACAATTTTAATTCCTTGAGTTGGGCAGTGTTAGTCTTTGTATTAGAATAACTGTGTACACAAATAGAGAAAAGGAAAATTACATGACATCAATGTTTATAATACAAAATATCTATGAACACAGGCATTTGTAACTCATCATACATAAAATGTATATGACACAGAGAATGAAGAAGTTTTGCTATTCACGCCAAGTCAACAGAGGCTTGTCTGCAGGAATACATCATCCCGAGGCTCACTCTGGGGTTGCAGCAGTCTTGGCCACCATGAATCGCTGATCCTTAGCATCCATTTAGAATTATAGTGGGCAAAACGGTTAGCAGCTACAACCAGCAAAACTTTCATGTTACCTTCAATAGTTTATCAAAGCAAAATACTGTATAATTGAGGCAAAATTGGACATACTTATGCATCAGAAATCTATGGTGGAGGTGTTCTAAACAGGACTCTGTATCTGTTATAATCAACAGATTTTTTGTAAATATAAGGTATCTTTTCTTATATCACACTATCACTGCCAAGAAACCAGTAACTATTTTTTGACTTTGTGCTGCACAAATTAAAAACAAGAAGAGACAAGTTGAAGAAAAAGAAGAAACCAAGCAAGCAAAGACAAGTGTCTTCAAAATTTCACTGCGTGCTCATGGGTGCGGATACGAAAACAAGGCCTTAAGATAATGCTTAAAAGGGAACTGAAATGCATTACGTGCATGAACCAATCCCCTACAGTGAATGCAATCACTATGCACTGAGAACATGTGGTAATAAAAGTTAAAAAAACAAAAGTGCTTAAGGGAATTCCACCCAGCACAATTTTACCTGGGGCATATTTTTGGTTTATACTTCTGTGTATTTCAAATTACTAGGTAGGATCCTGGGGACAGGATACAGACAATTAAAAGCAGTCATGTGCCCCTCTGGAGTTGGTTTCTATTCCTAATGGAGTCACTGGGTGGCAGCTTTCCAACACACAGCAAGAGGACACACCTCAAAGGCACAAACGGTGTCCGCATTTGTTCACCTGAAACAGTAATGCTTTCCCAGCAAAGGCACTTAAGTCAGAAACTCTTTCTCCAGGGCATAGATGGACAGCTGGTGAGCTGGGCTCTTCATCCGGCACAGAGGCCCCTTGCAGTCCTGCCTCTGTCCATCCACATTGGTGCCCGGTGAGGAAGACACCTGGGAACCCAGGACACAGGCAGGGCCTGGCCCCGTGTGGTCCCTGCCACAGGCTGCCCGTGCAGGCTGGGACTGTGCCCTGCGTGGGACGGCCCTTGGCACATCTGATGGACTTCTCAGGGAGACAGGGCCAGGCTGCAGCAAAACCGTGACAGCCCCATTCAGTTCAGCAGAGACCTGGCTCGGTAGGTCACCATGAGGGCCAGGTAAGGCAGGAGGTGGCAGTGCAGAGGCTCCAGGGGCACCTGCCAGGAGAAAGCCACAACAGGACAATGCAATCAGAATGACTTCAGAAACAATGAACCTCAAGAGAAACAACTGGGATGACACCTCAAGTGGGTGACCGCTTTAAAGTGAGCCTCAGTAAGAAAGTGCTGACGCAGGTCTCTCACAGCAGCTAGGAGTGGGGGTGGTGGGGAGTCTTCCTCAGTGGGAAAGAAAGGCCAGGTCAGAGTGCCTCAACCCAGTTACACGTGTAAATGGAGCCAGATAACCTTCGCAGCACACAGGCCCATAAGCATTAAAGCATGTATTTTGTAAGCAGGGCACATTTCAAAATGGAATAAATGCAGGAGTTTTAGACATGATGGTTAACATTGTTAAACTTCATTTGAGATCAGGATCTGAAAAAACTGGTAAGAGTAATGCAGGTCAGGTTTTTACATGTCCCCTCTTCTCTTGTTTATACAAAAGGGTTGGCTTATCACATTTTAGCAGGTAATTACCTAGTAACAGATGAAAAGAACGCTGTTTATGGTATTACTGTGCTATACAATTTCTCCTTATGCAATTACAAATGACAAAAGGGTAGCAAACCAATTTATCTAAATACAATAAATAATAAGCTAGCATTTAGAGATGAAGTAGACTAAACAATAAGTTTCAGTTTTAAAAAAGCTTTATAACTGACCTTATCAAAGCATTTTCAATTTATGAATAAAAGGCATTTTCATATATCCTACCTCATTTGATACTCATGATAAGCACATAAAACTATTGTAATTATCTTCATATATAAAAGAAATAAATCTTACATGGGGCAGAGTGCCACTTGATTTCTGCCACAATTCTACAAATAGCAGAGATTAGCTAAGCACATTACTAGATATGCATATTAATGACTATCACCCCAGTTTTAGAGCATATACTGAGACAGAACTATAAGCAATTGCCCACAATCACACAGTAAACTTGAACCCAGACAGCTACCCTGCTATTATCTGTGACCTTCGGACGACCTAGGAACATTCAAATGAGAAGGCCGATTACGTAATTCCCCAGATTACCTGTTCCTCAGATGAACTACTGAAACCCGAATCTGAGTCCTGTCACTCCAAATCAAGCGTCAGCGTCTCTTCCAAGGTCAGGTTAAATGACCACATTAAGTTCAGAAATGTCATGGTGACCACCACTCTGCATGTAACCACATAATCCAATCATGGGAATACTCAGTGATTTTTAGAAATGGAAAGAAGACAGTTCCCCGTAACGAAGGAGGAACTTCTAGGTACAAATCTTGACACCACTGCTTGCTGACTGTGAGATCCTGGATAAGTTGCTCATTTTTCGTGAGTTCTAATCTTGCTTTTATATATAGTATGTGTATAATGGAATCTCTATAAAGAGAGACCATTTACATGGGAGTGATTTTATCTACAAAATGCTACACAGCAAGCAGACAAAGCCTTCAAGCTTGTTCAATGAACTAGAAAAATCCCGATTGGAACTTCGGACTTGTTTTTCTTTCTGAGCTTCCATACCTGCACATAAAACACAGGGACTGTATAGTGTGCTATGCATCAGAAGAGAGAATTGTGCTGTCCTGGACTGAACTGTGCTCCCAAAATCCACAAACTGGATCCCTGACTCCTGGCACTGCAGAATGCGACTATCAGAAGATACAGATCTTGACAGATGTTGTAAAATTAAGAGTTATTGGGTGATCCCAATCTGGGGTGACTGGAGTCCTTATGAGAAGAGGGGATAAGGACAGACATACATGGAGGGACCACGAGGAGAGGCCTCACAGGGAAGTAACCCTGTTTGCACTTCCAGCTTCTAGGACCGTGAGAATATAAGGTATAAAGTGTTGCTGCTTAAACTGCTCTGTTCCACAGCCTTGGCACACTAAGGTGCTTGCTAACCTCCATCCAGACATCAGGAGATGGGCTGTCGAGAGGAAGGGCAGCCCAACTTGAGGTCCAACCCTCCCACCAACTACCAGTTTAAATTTGGACATGCGACTTGTGTTCTCTGCAACCAAGGGTCAGGGTCAGTTATTCTCCACATGCTCTTTCTCCTTATTGTGCTATCGGGCACCAAAGTTACTGACATTTAATTATACATTTCCTGGAATCTGAGATATAGGTAATTTAAAATCAAAGAAGAGAAAAATATAAAACTCGAAGAAATATAAAACTCAAGAAAAATATAAAACTGTGAACTGCAATAAGTTATTAAATATAATCATTAGGAAAAGGAGACCATGCAGCCCTGATCTCTAACAGTAGCTGGTGGTTTGCATGTTTCCCCCCACTAACTACTAAAGTAACCTACGTGGAGTCAGCAAAGGTTTTCCGCCTGATGAGGTCTGCCTGTGATGTGAGGCTGTGTCTTTTGGGGAAGCATAGTGAGGCACATTCCCATCATGTGTCTGCCCCAAGGAACAGAGAGACAGACTTTTCAATGCTCTGTGATCAGTCTCAATTCTTGGCCCCGGGGCCAGCCCTCGGGTGCTTTCTGGACATGCTGGACAGGAATCCTGGGTAGGCAGCTCAGGCTTTCGAGGAATCTGGGTGCTGCATATGGGTGGCTTGTCCCCATTTGTTTGTGGCAAGCACCTCATGGAGAGAAGGCTTGTGGTGCTTCTGGGGTCCCTGTCTGCAGACAGCAGCACAGGAGACGGGCTGGAAGCCTGCTGGAGGACCCCTTCCTGACTCTTCATGTCCCCCTTGGGTGGCAGCTCTTCCACAGCCTCTGCTCTGCTAATCCCTCGGACGTCGAGTCCCAACGCCACTGATGCCAGCAGCACTGCACACCCATACAGAGCTGACTCCGTTTTCTTCCTGTGGGGTCCACTGGGGCTGATCGCAGGCATCCGAGGGGGCACTACAGCAGAGCTGGCTGTGGGTCCCTCTTCCCAGCCCTCAGCCTCCCCCAGGTTCTGTCTCTGACCATCTTTGCAGAGAGGTAGATCAGTGGAGGCCTGACCAGGCAGCTTCATTTGCTTTGCTTTTCTGTGTTCTCCATTAGCAGGGTGTTTTGGCTCTTCACTAGATCCTAAAAAAAGGTATAAATGCAAACACTGTGGTCTCATTTGATGGTAAAAAATTATATTGTAATAAATTATTGTATTGTATATTGTAATAAATTATTGTATTAAATTATATTGTAAAATAGCTATAGTCTCATGAATATTCTAATTCAAAGTGCTGGAGTCTTCTCAGCTTGGCAAATGATTTATCCAGCAAGACTCTGATGGACAGGTCTCCAAGATCCTGCAACTCAGTTGCCCACAGACAAATCTGCAAGGAAAGCAGATGTTTCCTATCCTTCAAGAAACTGTTCCTCATCAGGATCAGTAACAGAAATGATTGTGGAAACAAGGATGTATGACAGTGCACACACACCCACATGTGCGTGTGCACACTAAATGTCTCACAGAACCCAAGGAACATGTTTTGCTAAAACACTCTAAATTTAATTTTATCACAGCAACAAATGACCATCTTAAACTGTCCAGTGGTAAGCCCAGTTGTTTTTCTTTGTTAATAACCTTATCACAGCAACAAATGACCATCTTAAACTGTCCAGTGGTAAGCCCAGTTGTTTTTCTTTGTTAATAACCCTCCTTGAGGTTTCCTGATAATTCCCATCTCTTTGAACTCCGGCCACCAAATAGCAATACTACAAGAGCACCGCCTTTCTCAGCAGAGTGCTTGGGGAGAGTGTATTTTCACATTTTCGGTCTCCTGTCCTTTATTTACCTCCATAATTAAGTATAACACTATCTTTTCTGTTAGAAATCAGAAATTACAAATTTCCAAAAGACCACATGGAGCCTAATCACTTTCTGCCATTAAAGACTGAATGGGAAACAACTTTTGTGCTCATGCAGAGCTATTAGGAACCTCTAAGCAGCCTCCCTCCTATCTGTTCCTTTAAGGGTCACTTGAGTTCATGACATGAAAGTCTCAGCGCATCAGATGCGAAGTCTATCACCAGCACATTCCGCTTCCTGATGCACATTTACCTGGCTGGTCCACAAAGAGTGAAGCCAAGGGTGTGGTTTTCTGACTTTTTATTAGGACAGATGACCAAGGACTGTTGCCATCAGAGAGAGGCCTCACCCTACAAGAGAAAACAGAACCACATGACATACAAATTAGGTTTTGGTGGACACAAGTCAAAGTATTTTTAAAGGTACTAAAGGAAGACATTTGTATTTGTGAATTTTGAAAAGCTAATGAAGTACTAATGAAACCTTAAAACAAGGCAATAAAATGCTAGAGAAACTGTTTACTTAATAAATAATCATTTAACTATGATAAATTCATCCTAGGAAATTGAAGTTACATTCAGGTGCTGCTGTGCCAATCTAGAAGTCCGACCAATATGACAGGAGCCCAGGTACCACGTGGTTACAGTGGACACCGGACACCACTGGTCCTCATGCGTACCTCTCTCTGCCATCGGTTCTTTCTTTCATTTGAATCGAGCTTGGTCCCCAAGTACAACCTTTCTTCTTGAAATTCCTTTTTGCATCTTCAAATTCTTCTTGCCGAAAGACCATATTCCTTCCCCAGGTTTTATTGTTTTCGTCAGATGTCACTAGGCAGAAAACACTACTGTCAGTCAACACCAGCACTGCTAAAAAAGGGACACGAGAGGGAGACGGCTATGCACACCTGTAATTCTAGCACCCTGGGAGGCTGAGGTAGGAGGACTTTTAAGTTCAAGCCCAGTCTGGACAACTTAGTGAGTTAGCAAGACCCTGTCTCAAATGTAAACAATAAGAAAAGGGTGGGGTACAGATGTGTATCATCGCAATCCCCCATTCCACCAAAGACTAAAGTGACATCAGTGGGGTTGTCAAGCAGCCACCTGTCTGGAAATGTGAAAACAGTGAAGAACTGATTCACTTCCTCTATCCTTGGAAAATTTCTTCTTCTAATGATAAAAACAAGAATAGAAGGAATTAAAAGAAAAGATATAAATTTAAGGAAAACTTGAAGCAAAGGACTGATTACTTATCTATTTCCCACTGTTCAACAGAAAAATATTTTCATGATAACTGGGGAAAGAAGGAGCCAAACTGAATAATGAACTTACTCTCTTAACCATTTAGCCAAACCAGTTAAAGTTTGGGGCTGAAGGCAAAACTGCTCTTTTAAGATTGTATGGTAAGCTATCTTCTATTATTTGTCCTGTCATCATATAGCTTATCTACTACTGTTTCCCTTTTAAAATCTGAAAATATCTAAGGTTCCCATCACCTGCCTTTCATCCCCGCCTCATGAATTATTTACATATCTAGTGTCCATAGTTTGGGAACACACATGCAGTCCCTCCAGCAGAAGTAACAGGACAAATGAGAGTGATCGTAACTGTCCACATACTCAGAGCACCTCCTGCACGCCAGGGACCACTCTGAATGCTCTAGAACATTCCGTGTAATTCTGAGCCAATTCACAGAAATGGAGTCAGAGGTGTGATACAGTTAAGAACTTGTTCCAAGTCACTGGGGCAGCCAGAGGGGCATCCAACTTCTGACAGCACATTCCAGAGTCCATGCTTACCTACCCTCTATCCTGACCACCAGGACAACAGGACCCATGTGAAGCCATAGCTGGGGGACACAAAGTCCAAACCACATGCAGTTTTGGTACACTCAGGGCAGGATGAAGATGCTTTGGTAGGAGGACCTCAACCCATAGCCCTACATGCAGGGCTGGTCCTTCTAGAACACTGGGAGAAAGTGTTTGCAGTTACTTTGGATACTGATCAATCAGGATGCTCCTCTCTGAGCTTCACCTCAGCATGGGAAGTGATTTATTTGATCCCCAAAGTATGTGCTTCACCCTGTGCAAATCTTGGGCCGCACCTAGTACCATCTGCCCACTTCCATAGGGTTGTTATTTCCTGAGGGCAGAACCTTCGGACAGAGTGTACGAGGAGAGAGATGCCAGGTTGAGGTGGAGGGAATGGGCCGTGATCTGTTCCTCCCTGGACTAGAGGCTTCCCCTGCTTCCTACACTTAGGCCCTCAGTCTGCTGAGGCAAAGGAAAGGTACAAAGACAGCTTTATGCAAAGTGACAAATGAACTGTGGGGAGACTGTCTGAAAGCTTGAAAAAGGAAATCTTGAAAAGTAAATACTCAAAAAATGCAAACCAAAACAAAAAAGAACAATAAACAAAGGAAAAAAAAGAAATAAGAAAAGCCAAGTGTGGTGGTGCACACCCAACATCCCAGCACTCTGGGCAGCTGAGGCAGCAGGACTGCCAAGTTTGACCCCAACCTGGGCAAGGTAGTAGCCTAGTGAAATCCTACCAACAAAAAGGGTCTGCGGTCTGGGGATGTAGGTCAGCACAAAGGCCGTGGGTTCAATCCTCAGCATCGCCCCCTTCAGTGCACAAAAATTTTTATTCTCCAGAATAGGATGATAAGCAGTTTGACAGAGAAAGGAGAAGATTTGAATAGTTTAATATGGTAATTTACATGTATTAGTCACATTCTTATCTTGCTTAGCCTTCTTTAGTGCTTTCGGTAGACTTAACCTTTGAAAAAGATGAGTAATTTTCTTTCATCCTACTACGCTCTGATGTGGGATCTAACTGTACCTGAGCCATGCAAAGTTGCTTACACAGGAACTATGTATCCCGTCTCCTCTAGCAAATGCTCTCTCTAAAACCAAAATACCATGGGGTGTTTTGAAGCATTAGTTTGGTCACCCCAAAGTATATTACAGTTTAATCTCAACAGGTAAAATACTTTCTTCCTCACAAAACTAGGTAGCCAAATGGAAATAATCCCGAATTCCTCATTCTACTTTTTGAAATACCCCTATGTAAGGGACTCTGTAAGGTGCAATAATCCACTTAGGTTAATTCTGTAGGCAAGGAGTTAACAGAACATCTCAGAAAGCGTCCTCCACCTGCCACTCCAGGGGTCTGCTTATGGCACCTGCTACACAGAAGCTAAGGGTCACGTGTGGATATGAGCGTAAAAACTGGCCCAAGGATCCTAAATTTTCTTTTCCAAATAGTTGCTGCACTTGTTAAATGTTGCTTCCTCACATAAAATTTGCTGTAAAAACATGCACCTTAGTTTGAATCCAAGACAAGAAAATGAGCAAAGTCCCAAGAGGACTCACACTGAATGGCCCGCAGGCGGGGAAGCATGGTGGGGCTGCTGGGCGGGCTGGAGCTCCTGCTGTCCCAACTCCTGCGCCTGTCCAAGCTGGGGGAGGCCTGCACCGTGATCTTGTGCTGGAAGTCTGTGGGACACAGCGAACAGAAGAACAGCTACAGAACTACATCACCTCAGGTTATTCCATCACCATGGGCCGGGCACAGAGCAATAGAAGTACATACTGCCAGAAGGAACAAGGATATACACTTCCGAGTCAGTTTCTGACTTTGGTTTCTTACTTACCTGCAATTCAGGATTCAAGGCAAGAGATAATTCAGAGGTCAATGAAAGGTACAATGAAACACTTATAAAGAAATACGAAATCTTCCCCATTTCATGTAGAACTCACAGTGTTCTGGGATCAATCGCCTCTATTCAGTCAGAGGCACTCAAAGACAAAATTAAAATAGGAGGCCAGGAGTCCATCAGTAAAGAACTACGGCCCACATACTTGTAAGGAAGGGTTCTGAGCCGGCCACACTCCTGCTACAGGGAGCAGTAACAGTCCGTGGGACCGTGGTAGTAAGACAGAAAAGGTACAATCAAGATGTCTTGTGGCCAATGCACTCAATAAATGAAAGCTACTGAGGTGTGATCAAACAATACAGTGAAAGTTTAAATGAAAGAAGTTATTATAGTAAAAGATACACTGCCCTAAATCACCTGAAATACTCCTCCTGGCTTCACAAACACTAATCGCATCATTCTTGTCGCTTTCTGAAGCAATTCTGGAAATCTTTCTCGAGTGTCTTTCCCAGGTGTCTGTGATTAAAAATATATAGGGAATGTTGCTGCTGAGTGCCATTCAACAGAAAGGCAAGCTTACAAAAATATTACGGTATGTCCTCATCGACTTTATTCACAGGATCTTGCGCTGGGTGACTTCTAGTTCTTTCCCACAGTCAAAATGACCATGCAACATAAATGTTTTGAGTTATTCAGAACATCAGAGCATCATAAAATGCAACTAACGGTACTCATGAGACAGGATTTCCAGAACTGCTTCAGAAAGTGGCCAGAATGATGGGAGAAATGTGTTTGAAAAGACGGGGAGAATTTTGAGGGGGGTTAATAGTAATGTGTTTTAATGTAACACATTTTTGAAATTTAAACATTTACTACTAATTTAATCATATCTCATATTGTGACCTAACTGGAACATGGCAGAGATTAAGCTATGACCACGGGAAGATATGAAAGAGAACATTGCCAGATGGGAGGGAGGTGTCTTTAAGAGGCCGTAAAAATTAATGGAAATGTGGACATAGGTAAAAGAAATCACTAGGTTTCCTTCAGTACTGCTGGGCTTCAACTAACTGATTTCCTATTAACTGGACTATGTCTATCTCTGTAGGGGGAGCGGGTTAATTTGACAATTGTGTCTGGTAATGTAAATTATTTCTGCCTGATAAAAAAGACAATCCCATAGATTATGATTTAGTGCTATATTGTACAATACTTGAGTTTGTTTTTAACCTTATAATCTAATCCTGATATTCCTTTATTAAACTGCCCATAAAGACTTAACTTCTTAAATCCTCATTTGAACCAGTTCTACTGGTTATCTATCACTAGATAGTGAGCTGAGTAGCATCTTTGAAACACGTTTACTTCATGTTTCCAAGTTATAATTTACCTTTTTTGGAGATTATACTTGAAGGACATTTATTGAACCATCTAGTATTTGAGATGAAGAAGAGATAGAATTTGATAGGCAAAACATCTGTGTAATAGTTCATGCTAGAAACTTGAACAAAATGTTTTTTGGTAGTATCTTCTCCTTAGTCTCATGTGTTCCATTAAACAAATTATCCTGCAAACTCAGTGTCACATATTCTTCTTTTAGAAGCAAAGTCTGAAGTCTAGATAGTAGTTAGCAAACTTGGATTTGAATTTCAGTTACCAGCCATGTGAGTTTGGGAAAATGATCTCAGTACAAGCACCTACAAAAATGGAAAAATCCAACTATTCTATTTTATAAAACTGCTATGAAAATTAAAACAAGGATAAAATGCACTCAACTCAACACAGGACTTAGGATATAATGAGCAATGATAAATGCTAGTATTCTTTTAGTGCTCCTGAGCCTCTCTCTCATTGGCCATCACATTACTCACATTCCTTCCCATATTCACCAATCAGCCCTCAAGTCTGCTTCTTTGGTTACTATATATACTTTCTAAGATGCATAACAACTATGGCAGTCACCTGCCTGAAACCCTTCAAAAACACCTCCTGACACCTGGAATCCCAGCAGTCTGGGAAGCTGAGGCAGGGGGATCGCTAAGCTTGAGTTCAGTTTGGGCAGCGTAACAATTTAGGAAGATACTACCCCAGTATAAAAAATAAAAATGGCTGGGGATTAGCTCAGTACAGTGCTCTTGGGTTCAATCGCAGTAATTAAAAAAAAAGAAAAAGAAAGCCGAGTATCTCTCATGAGTCCTAAGCTACGTATTAATGGGAACAAGCCCAGGCTCTCAAGTCTGGGTCCTTCTTGCTGCTCCGAGCCCCTGCACAGGTTCCACTCTCGCGCCACACTGCACCAGGCGTCCGTAGGCTTCTGAGCTAAGGGGAACCCAGGTCCCCACGTGTGCTGGGAAAGCCCCCCCTCCCTGACCACACCTCACCCCCTTGTACTACATCTCCGGCTTTGTCAGCTGCTTAGTCTTTGCTGAAACTCCCCAGCCCTGCGGAGCAGCAAGAAGGCAGCCAGATCACGCACCAGTGCCAGCGTGCTAGGACAGCTTTATGGATATTCAGACTTAAAGTTCATGTACTACCAGGTACCATAGTTGTACTGCTTATAATTTTTTTCAAGCCTTTAAAGATATACATTCCATGATGAGCCCCTGGCTGTGAAAAGCAGGCAAGGGCTGGGTTTGACCTGTGGGCTGCACTCTTAAGACTTGTCAATCCATGCTGGTCTCTTTTGATTCTTGCAAGAGGCTGAGTTACTCTGCAAGTGTGCTGCCTGTTTTCTTTTTTCCCCTTGTGTTTGGCAAATTCTTACATTAAGTCATAATTTAAATGTCACTTCTTTAAGAAACCTACCATTATCTCCAATAACCACTGTCATATGACTTGTCCCAGGCAGCAGATGATCACTACAGCAAGTAAATAAGCGTCTGTTTAATTACTGGCAGAGGTCTACCTCTCTCCAAATACTGAATAAGCTCTGTGAGGCTGAGATCCCTCCAGGGACTGGCTCAGTTATGTTGCCCTCCAGACGGGGTCGAGGCCTTGCACATAATAGGTGATCCAAAAACTCTGAATATTCTCTCACTATAACTATAAATAAGGTAAGCCCAGAAATCATATTTATTTTATTATAATCCTTTAAGTATTTACTGAGTGAAAAAGTTGTGTAAAGTTTATCAACAGGAGCAAATTGGTACTTAAAATTAACTATAGGACATACATAGCTGGTAGAGGAAAGTCTGGAGGACAAAGTAGATGCAAACTGGGCTGGGGATTTAGCTCAGCGCATAAGCACCTGCCTTGCAAGCAGGTGGTTGTGAGTTCGATCCCTGCTATCGATAAAAATGAAAAAGACAAAAAAAAATTATCAAAGTAGATGCAAATAAAAGACTAGATAGAAGCCTGCCTCCCTCCACGCGAGGAGTTAGAAATTAGGAAAGACTTGAGCAGGGCAGAGGCATCTAAGCAAAGGACAGAAGGGACACAGAAAAACAGTTCAGGAGGCTGAGCGACAGACTGGATTTAGGGGAACACAGGTAAAAGGGAAAACAAAACAGTCACACGCGAAGAGAAATCGATTTGGGATTGAAGGGATTTTACAAAGGTTCAGGTGGTCCTTGAACTGTCACCTCCTAAGGAAGCAATTCTCCATGAACCTAGAGGTGGGCCTGGAGCACAGTGCTGAAGGACACATGACATGGGACACCTGGTGGAACAAGAGCCAGGAGGTCGAGGAAAGGGCCCCTGAGCAGCAGGGGCAAAGCTGGAGCCACCAACACCACACACGCGCGGGCTTCTGCAAACACTGACGTGAGTGCTTACAACACAAGTGCTCTCTACGGTTTCAGATATACAGACTTTATTGTAAACATCCTTGTCCTTGGAGCAGGATTGTGGAGGACCATCTGGCCAATTCTCCCTGAGAGAAGAGCAACTGTCTCCATTTCGGCTAAACCTGGCCCTATTTCCGTGTACTGACATGTGCAGAGCTGGCTAAGTTATGTCTTTAGCCCCTTGATTGGCTTTAATGCAAACAGGTCTTACAGAGGTGCTGGTGTGCAGTCTTTAAAGCACTGTGACAGGTCAGTGAAGCTCTGCCTACAGCTCCCAAGTAATATGTGTGAGCTAGGCCGAGAGACTCCATGCTGTCCGCTGAGGATGGGCCTCGAGAAAAGCAGCTGTGATTTCTCAGATCATGGATTACACATCAAAACTGAAGCACCAATCCCAGAACACTAGTGATACACAGATTAATCTTCCTGCATCTCTCTCTCTCTCTGCATATTGTGGAGGTGATTTCAAGCCTCTTCCCTCGCCTAGCCCATAGCACTCATGAACTTCCCGCCACACCCACGGTCACTAAATCCTGAGCCATTCCCCTCTTCACAAATTAAAATAAAACTCAGGACCCCAGCCTTGGCTACCCATCATCTTAGATATATTTGTGTCTTTATTTGCACTGTGGTTTTGCATTGGAATTGGAATTAACTTGATAGAATTCCAGTAACTTTCCCTCGGGACTACAAATACAAGCTTCACACAAGGTCCAAGAAGGTTTTCTATACGAGGTGAAGCAGAGTCTGTTCCGGTTATATATCTGAGAAATTTACATTTGGTAGCCAGACACCAAGGAACTCTAGCAGGAATAAAATGACATTTGCGTTTTCTAGCAATAAATTGTTACAGCCATACATTTAAAAATCATTGGTGACCTGCAGAGACACAGTTACAAGTGAATCTAATTAGCCACATCAAATAAACAGTATGTGAAATATCACAGGCACAAACATTAAGGGTTAGTTTATAGAGGTTTCCGGGAAGGTCTTTAAGCTAATTCCACACAAAGCTGCATCCTGCAGAAGATTTGGTATGGGAATTCCTGGGTGAAAGCCAGCCTCTTACATGTGTCTTCTGGATAATGTGCCATTAAACAGACAGAATTTGATGACACGGGTATTTTCTACCACATGGTAATGTGAGTTACAACTAACTCCTCGAATAATACGTAAACATAAAAAATCGTTTTTATTTCTATACTATACATAGTTGGTCCTGTCCTGGGTACTACAAAAGAGTGTGTGGAGGTGTGTGTGTACGTGTGTGGATAACTTAGCTCATGGTGTGTTCATGCCTGTGCTCTGAGCTGGAGGATCTCAAGGTGAACTCCCAGGTACCAGCATTACAGCAGTGCAGCGCCATCTTGTGGGATGAAGTGGTAATACCTCCTTAAATTCCAGAAGGAAACTTCACTCTTTCATGATGGACAGTATTAAGAGTAATACATTTATGTTTTAATTGAAATCTTTTATTAAGTGTCTCAAAGTAAATAAATATACAACTAAAACACTACCTTTCTTTTCAGGGAAAGAAATGTCAAATAGCTTAACCAAGGATTAAAAAACATCTGGCAAAACCAGTTAAGTGTACTCAACTCAAGCTATCAGTCAAAGAACATTTGGGAAGAAAGGCAAGAGTGAATACAGGACTCATGAATCCTATGAAACTGTATTTAGTCTGATGTGGTGATGCACACCTGTAATGTCAGCACTCCAAGGCAGGAGAAGCTCAAGTTTAAGCTCACCCTGAGCAGTTTAGAAAGACTATCTCAATCAAACAGCCAATCAAAGGTTTGGAATATAGCTTTGTACAGAAGCACTGGATTCAATTCCTAGTACTGAAAAAGGAATTTTAATTTAACCTCCCCATCACTGAAGAGTAAAGGACCACTGGGATGATGTAATTCTTTCTTCCAAATTTATTTCCTTTCCCATCAGATGCTTATCACTCACTCCCAAAGAGTTTCCAAGGGAAGCCAGGAATATTAATTAGGAGGTCATAGTCATAACACAGAGAGAAGAAAGTTGGAAAGGATGGAAACTGGAGAAAACCTACATCTAATCCTTCCTAAATTTTTCCATGACTTGTCCTTGAGTGTAGAAGTTCATCTCACTGCAGGTAAAACAGTCTTCCTTTTAAGGATGGCTGACACATAAGGTTGTCCTGTTGGCAGTCTTCCAAGCACATTTTGGCTAAAGGTAAACATGGGAAGAGAACCCAGAAACACACCTGTTTTATGTCTTCTCCCCAGAAGGGGAGGCGGTAAGATGTCCCCCAGCCTATTCAAATCAAATAATGAAGTATGTGGGGTATACCTATCACTACCACACACCAGCCACTTCTGATCAACTGAGTATATCTGCAGTCACCTAAAGAGTCACAGGATGCTGACAGCCCTCCAGGGTTTCTATCAGGTGTCTTATATGAGATTCATACACGCCACACGTAAAACACAACTGTCATTACTGTTACCACATTAAATGTCCACGCCATTAATAATCATTTTTGAAAGAAAGCAGAATCGGTAGAGAGCACTCTCACAGGTAGACGTATGCATGATATACACATGTGATGAAAAAAGAGAGAGATACATGTATTTTGCACACATTCTATACTTCCTTCCATCCTTCCCTGGCATTACAAAGAGTCATAAAATATAGCAAGGGCACTTAGCTTTCCTTGAAACCAAGAATAATGCATACTATTAAGGAGCTAATTTAGTAGATTTATGTTTGCTATATTCTACTTCATTTGGCTTCTCCTAATGTATTACTAAAGGGATTTAATGTATTTACTAAAGGGATGTAGTAAATCCTTTATGCTATTGTCATAATTTTTATAGGCACCTTTGAAAGTTTCCCTTCATTGACCAGCTCACGGGCAGGAATGTCACCAGAGAACTTAACACACTTGTTGGAGGTGCTGACAACAACATCATGGCCCAAACAAACTCAGCCACTGCCTGGTCATTACCACAGATTCTTGTGAAAGTGGTAACTGTGATGGGAACAGTGCCACATAGTTTTGGCTCCGTGCAACCAGTTAAAAAGCTCTGCTTTAAGTTTGGAAAGAATAGCACAACGTGATGCACAGGCGGACAGGACTGAGCACTGGAACACAGAGTCCCGCTACTGAAGGCTCACATCGCTGCGCCCACGGAAACTCCTCAGGTCGACCTGTTAGCACCTGGGTGAGCCAGCAGCTGGACACAGTTACTTCATACTCTGTGTTAAAATCCTACTGTGCTCACTCTCTGTGATTCTGACATCAGTAGTGTTTGACACGCCCCAAATCTTTACAACACACAAAAGCAGCTCCCACCTGAAGGCAAACTGATCCGATGTCCGTCTTTGAGCTTCAGCCGGCTTCTCCGGAACTTGCCCTTCCTCTTCCTCACGTGCGGGCCCTCCTGGTTGAGCTGGAAGATGAGGATGTTGAGCTCGCGCTCCAGCACGTCGATCTCGCGTTCGGCCAGCTGCTGCTCCCTGCGTCGGAGCAGCTCCTCCTGAGACTTCTGCTGCAGGGCAGCGCGGCTCAGCTCCTCTTCCCGGGACCGCAGCTCCTGCGACAGAGTCACACAGCAAGGTGTTCAGCAGGAGAGAGAATGGCTTTTTGGGTCTACTGCCCTCCACCGGCACCCGCGGCCACTGCGTTCCGCAGCACGGCCAGCAGATGGCGCCCCGGTTCCCCTGCTGATCGGCTCACCCAAGTCTTCAGGGACAGCTCTCTGCACAGGGCAGGACAGCCAAGAACTTCCCAGCACCCCACTCATCCAGGTGAACCAATGCTCCCGAACAGCTCCCCTCTGTGCAGGTTTTACCATTCGGAAAGAGGCTTCGCATTCTTCTTCTTTTTTTTTTTTTAACCTGACTGTAACATTTCTCTTTCAGTATCTTTATCCTTTATAATCATAAGTTGTAAAATATACATTAATATACAACACAGACATAAAATACTTTAAAATACAACCCAAAGTTAAAGCCCTGCCATTTTAATTCCTGCTGTTTTAAAAGCCTGAAGTTCAGACTTCTCCACTTAGGGACTTCTATTGGACATTTAGGAGTCTGCTTAGGGAATAAAACACCCTGGTGGAGAATAAGGGGAAAATACAGCTAATGTGTCAGAAACAGACAAATCGACAATGAGACAGAGATAACCCAAAGGAAAATAGGGTCAGTATCAAAATTACTTCTAGACATCCCACTGACGTGTAAAGTTTGACTTTATAACATCTCATAAATCAGCTAACAAAAGCCCTTCTGTTGTAACATTTAAGAGATTATGAACTTTAAGAAATGGGACATCCCTGAGTTGACAAAAAATGATTCTGTTCTTTTTAGAAAAAAAATAATCAACAGCAAAACAGAGTTCTAGCAGGTTTTAAAACCAGATCCTCCTTCCCATTTCATTTCTATAAAGTGTTCTCTTCTTTATCAGAGAAGTAACTATCCCTTAGCACACTGAACTTTTATTCTAGATTTCCCTCTACTAAATCTAGCACTGATACAATTATCAAGGCATCTGCAAGCTATTGTTTATTGCTCAGATAAATGTAGCCTTCCTGTACACTCAGACCACGTTTAGTTGGTAATTAGAAGTGTGTTTCAGAGACAGCTCTGGCTGTGTGCTGTGGGAACCACATCCTACTTTGTATGACCAGGAAACATTTTAAATAGGTTCCCCAAGGGTTCCAGCCCACTGAGACACAACACACTTTGAGAAGCCAGAACCAGCCAGGGATAAAAGCATCAGTACTCTCCGTTACCCCTTAGGTTTTTTACAGATAGATCCAAAGAATAATTCAAGTCTATCTGTCAGTACAATTATCATACAGTAAACACAGACAATCACCCTCCCATATATAGGAAACTCAAAAAGAGACTGGGCGAAGTGGCTCAGCTCAGTCTTAGAGCATTTGCCGAGCATGTGTGAGGCCCTGAGTTTGATCCCCAGCATCATGATTAAAGAAAGAAAGAAAAAAAAAGACAAGGAGTTCTAATAACAAAGAAATATATTCATTGGGATGGAACTAATCCTGAATTTGCAGTGCTTCTACCAAAGCAAACTGAAGTTCTGCTTTCAAATACTCTTTGGTTTATTTTCTCTAAATATATTGCGCAAACAAAATTGCAGGAAAATATTAACTTTGAGGTTACCAGGTTACCAATTGCTTCTGCTTATATAGATCAGCTAATTCTTATTTATACAGCAGATCAGTTATTTCATTCTGTAAGGTCAGATATAAATTACTACTTGCAAAAAATTACGTATTTTTATATTTTTCTGATTTTTTTTAGTATTAGGAATTGAATCTGGGCATTCTATCCCTCGAACTTCTTTCTCAGCCCTTTTAATTTTATTTTAGGCAGAGTCTCACTAAATTGCTCATGTGGTGCTCAAACTTGCCATCCTTCTGCTTCAGCTTCTCAATAGCTAGGATTATAGGTCTGTATCACTGACCCTGGTTTGTAATCCATCTTTTAACTAATCTTATCCAAATACAGTAGTCAAAATGGAGATTTTACAGTGGTAAACTTATCATTTCTAACTTGTTATGTGCACTTTTTAAAACAGATATTTTTCAGTGGCATTGATATCCATCCAACTCACTATTGTTAAATAAGACGGTATGAAGGTGAGATGTGGGTAACACATTCAGTAAGGAGTTTTATTACAACTACAGGAACCAGTTTTAATTCTAGGTCCCCATCCAAAATCTGTATCCTTTTCCAACAACTTCATGAATAAAACAAAAACTACTTTCCTAAGAATTTATAGGACAAAGAAAATATGAACAGAGAGAAAGCAGCCAAAGTAATCTTCCTAACGAATGAATTTTAAAATCCAAAAGGAAAAGGAAAGAAGAAAAGTCGGGGTAGTAGAACCCTTCTGAATACCTTGAAATCATGAAGCACACACAAAAAGTGCCTTCCGTGGCTGAGATTACGAGCACGCATATTTGTTTAACTGCTCGGCATACACTGTTCTGGTAATGCCAACCCAGATTCCTGGCTGTGGAGGTTAATCATTAATGACCACATGCCTTCCTTCAGAGAGCAGCCAAGACAGGTGCAGTGCAGGAGGCACCAGGACAGACACACTGAGATAAGAAGCAGGAATTTAGGGAGGACTCGGTCTCTAGGGAGGCTGCCCTGGACAATAACACAGGTCTCCGCCAAGTTACTGACCATGAATTCCAAGTATGCCACCTCCTACGTTAGGCAACCAGTGAACAAGAAAAGCAGATAGGGCACGCACGCTGGGCTTTGACTTCATCAGAAGGATGCAGGTGGAAACTTTTCAGAAAAAAAAAATTATACATTCTTCAGTACTAAATTAAAAAGCTCACGAGATAGTGTAAGTGCTATGTCTCAAGGAGCGACGTGTAAGAATCAAAGAAAGAGAAAAAAAACAGACACCACTGAAACATCAGCCAAAAGAGTAACAAAAATCTACTTCAAACATCAAAGGAGCTGCTGTGGATTTTGAAAGCACATTTTCATTCTTATACTGCATACAGTGAGAATTATTCAACACAACTATATCTTGCAGTTGCAAAAATTCTCAGTAATAGATTGAAATGTTATTATCAGTAATCGCACTTCCAAACTTAAATGCTGTGACTTAAAGCATTTTTTCCCCTCAAAATCTTTTTCTCCCACTTTTCTAAAACCATTATTTTTGTGACTAAATATCGAATTTTAAAATTCTTAAAAACAGTTTGGAGAAGTGTGAAAAATATCACTTTCTCTATTATTAAATTCACCAAAATGTATCAATGTTCCCCCAGGGAACTGCAGGGTGAGGCCCACCTCTGGCCCTTCTTCCCCTCTCTACTGTTTCTCCCCCTCCTCTGGTGCCCAGAGCCTGGGCCAGGGCAGGGTGGGGCAGGAAGTCTGCACCACCTGGGTCAGCTGAGGCCACTTTCTTCCTCCTGAAGCCAACACTTCCTTAGCACTTACTGTGCAGGAGAACACGCTGGGCACGCTCTGCATGCACAGCTGACCTGAGCCTTCCCCACCTTAGGGAGGAAGGCTTCCTATGACAATCGAATGACTGACACAGAATACAGAGAGAGACATCTAGCCCACAGTCACAGGATGACTCACAGATGAGCCCCCGCGTGGCCAGGATGTCTGGCTCAGAGGTCTGAGTGTTTGCCACGACTGCAGAGGGCTACAGATGCCAGTGTGGGCTCCACGTAGGTGCCCTGTTCAGCCTTTGTCTTCATTCCCAAGGGGAAAACTGACAGTCATGGAGCCACCTGCCCCAAAGGCAGACTTCAGTCCCCAGGCATTCTTCCCAGTGTCGCCTCTAAACACTGGGACAACAGGCAACATGTGAAGTGCGACGGAAGCTATAGTGAATATTCATATTTTAAAAAATACAGTAAATGCCAGTTGTCACTACTCTCCCTTCTTGTTCTGAATGCACTTATCCTCTTACTCCTGCCACTTTCTGAAGCAATTCTGGAGTGTTCTATGAGTGTCTTTGATTGTGCTGTTGTAGCATCTCCAAATGCTCCTTCAGTACAGACTGCTAACCCTTCATGGTCATTGCGACTGGAAAAGAGCCAGAAGTCACACAGTACCAGATCTGACGAATACGGTAGGTGAGGACACACTGTAATGTTTTTATTTGATAGAAACATAAACATTTTAAATGGATTCAGGACATCAAGGCAGCCATTAAATGACACTCTAGAAAAAAGACTTGCAAGACACAAAGTGCAAGAATAATGGGTATGAACTGATGGAGAATTCTGAGAAGGCAACATGTCTCTTTAATGTTTTTTTATTTAAACCTTCACTATATATTTTGATCAGCCTGTAACTATGAAATTCCTTTCTGGACATAACTTTATACACATAATCAGTGACTTACAGTGTTGTACTTTTACATAACACATTATGAATGTCTACACATAAACATTTGTTTACACATTTCATAGAAAGATTGAAACTAGTGGACATAAACCCTGACTCATCGAAATGCTAAAGTACCACAAAAAATGTCTTTAAAACAAATACGACTGCTGAATCTTGAAAGCATGCAATTTGGGTTCCTCAGTGCCCTCTCATAGCATCTGTCCCCAGTCAAGGCACCATGCTAACCCAATTCACTGCACACCAGTCTGTCTTCCAGGATTACCTTAATTTTACCGATAATGATATAACTGCAGTCTGTACATTTAACTTTTGGGCTTATTTTTCCCTTCTTAAAAGACAAGCACAACTTAACACATTAAAGAGTTTAAATTTTTTATACTTTTCCGGTTTTTCCAACAAAGCAATGGTCCTGGAAATGAGAGTTATGAATTAGGGACAGACACCAAGGAAGCTGTGAAGCATAACCAAAAACAACACATAGGCCTTGTATGATTCTGATTCCCACAAACAACGGAAAGACATATTGTCTCATCTGCTGTAGAACAATTATGATATTAAAGAATTGCTGGTAACCTTTTAGACAACAAAGGTAAGGAAATTAATTTTAAAACTCTTGTCAGTTAAAAACACATACTGAAGTATTTACAGGTAAAATAACTTGAATGTAGGACTTGGTTTTAAATATTCCAGTGTTAAAAATGATAATAAAAATGATAACAAATGATAATAATGAGTCACAAAATGATTTTTTGAAAAGTGAAACTGGTTAATGTATAGAGTTTACTATGTTATTTTCTCTTAATTTTACATTGAAAAATTTCTCAAAAGTTTTCTCCAATTATACATATTCAGTGCACTTTTGTGTGCTTTTATTTTTAAATAGAAAGTCAACAAATACTGTCTGAAAATACTGCAGAACAATGCTAACTAGCAGCACTTCATTTGTATATAACTTTAAAGGTGTAAGTATAGAGTACCATTAAGTATTTCTCTCACCTTTTCCTTTGTTCTCAGCTCATCAAACATCTGTTGGATTTCCAGCTTCCAGTCATCTTGCATGGAATGGAAAGATTCCTGGGGCATTTCAGTCATCACAGCCACCTCAATATCAGACAGCTGTTGCAGAATTGAGGCAAATGATGGGCGAATATGAGGGTCTTGTTCCCAGCACTCTGGAGAAACAAAAAATCACTAGTTCTTCCCCTGTCAGAACGGTCCCAACGACCTCTAAGACAGCAGGGTTTCTAAGGCATGTTTTACTCTGAACTGTTTAACATCAGTTTAACATCTGTCACTGTAAGCCAGAAATTCACAGCTTCAGTGGCTACTCCTGAACACTCTAAGGAACTATGAATGATGATTTTGCATGCTTTATATTATTCAGTGTCTAAGACAGCAGCATGCATGGTAATCACTCATTATCAAGGCTGCTGTTTCCTGTATTATATCACACTGGAAGCCTGGACATCTGCTTTCCAGGTTTTGCCATGACCTTTGCCATGCGCTTCAGAGACCTAAGCTGTCTCGGACAAGACATTTACTGATGCAGAATTACATATATGCAAAGTTCAACCCAAGAAAACCAAGCTCTCTAAAATGTTATAACAATCACAAGAGGAGTTCTAGGAAATAGCCTGATAATGAGATTAACTTGGTGCTTGCAAAGAATTAGCAATTTTTTAAAAATTAAGGAGTAAATTTGTAAGATCATAGCAAAGCCATGTGAGTTATGTCTGTACTCTACTTTTGCTCATCAGGTGGAATGTAGTAACACAGCTGATCTGCCCCCAGCTGAGGACTGTGCTGGCCTCCTCTGTTCTACTCAGAGCAGCATGAAAACTTTATTGCTACTCCCTTGAGTCTTGCACAGACACGAACCACTAAAAAAAAAAAAAAAAAAAAGTATGGCTTTCAGTTACTCGGTTCACCAAAATCATATCAAAAGATAGGTCTCTAATTTTTTAAAACAGTGTAATAACTTAAAAATGATTGAAAATGGTAATCACAGGCATTGCTTTTAGGTTAAAAAATATGCAAATGCTCTCTGGAGTGACTTTCCTTGCCTTGCACACAGGCCAGCAAGGGCTGCACAGATACCTTTCATGAGCTTGGCGAATGGCTCAGGGCAGGTAGATGGGATGGGCAGAGTGAGCTTGTTGACTGCTACCCCATAGGCCACAGCCAGACCGTCGATGCCGCGGTAGGGTACCTCTCCTGTGAGCAGCTCCCACAGCAGAACGCCATAGCTGGAAAGCAAAGTTCCCACATGTGAAATGGGCTGGGTGTGTCCTGTTCTTATGACAAGGCTGGGCTCCATGCCATAGGGTACTCCGCTGCACAGGGCTCCAAGGGGCAACTGAAATATTAACCATAATGAAATACCACTTCACATCTACAGGGCTCTCCAGAATTGAAAAGTCAGATAACAACAAGGGTTGGGGAGGATGTGGCAAATCAGAGCCTTCATGCACTTCTGGAGAGAAAGAAAAATGGTGCTGCCTCTGTGGAAAACAGTTTAGCCTGTCATCAAATAGTTAAACACAGAATTAACAAATAGCCCAATGATTTCATCACTCTCAGGAAGACACCAAAGAGAAATGAAAATGACACCAAAAAACTTGCTGATGAATGTTTGTGGCAGCATCATTCATAGGCAGGGAAAAGTGGAAGCAATTCAAACGTTCATCAACAGAAGAATGGGTAACCAAATGTGGTCTAGCTGTAAGTGGAATATTAGCTAGAAAAGAAATAAGATTTTTATACAAGCTGTAGCCCAGATGATCTCTAAAAATCATGCTCAGTGAAAGAAGTCAGTACAAAAGCAGAGGTACTAGAAGACTCCATTTATATGAAATGGGCCGAGTAAACAAAGCTAAAAACACAGAGTATGGCCTGGTGGCTGCTTAGGGCAAACAAAGACAGGAATTGGCAGAGACAAGAAATGGAAATAGAGCTTCCTTGTGGGACAATGAAAATGCTCTAAAATCCACTGAGGTGATGGATATACACAGCAACTTATTATATACTAAATGTCACAGAAATTATACAGTTTAAAAGAGTGAACTGTATGGCATGTGAATGGTATCTCCAGAGAGCTATTTAAAAAACATGGACTTTTAATATGTGCCACATAGGACTATTAAATAAAAGCAATTAAGCCCTTGGTGCACGTTAACTATGAAGCTTGTGATTTCTCTTTGCTGTTCTGTCACTGTTGGTGTCCCTGTCTCCTGATGAGCCAAAGCAGTACGGGAGACGGCCTGGCGTTCCACTGGCCGCAGCGCTCCACTTGCCACAGGAGCCTTCCATCTGTAGGTGGGACAATTTGTAAAATAAAGGGATCACTCTAAACGTTTTCCTCAAATTCCCGGTATGCTATCGTTGCTTGTGAGTTCCAACAATTCAGAAGTTTGCTGAAAGTAAAAACTCACTTTTATGTATAGTATTGGTAGGCCTTATACATCGTGGTTCATTCAACTTAGAAACAGTTTTGATCAAGCCTCCTCCTAAATGGAAGGTTCTTCTACTAAATGGAATTACATTACAGAAACCTCAAGTTACCTATCCTGTTGTCCTTAGGGCCCTCTTTTTGTTTCTTGCAATGGGAGGGATTGAACTCAGGGCCTTCACACTGAGCTACGTCCCCAGCTCATTGTGTATTTTATTTTGGAGACAGGATCTCACTAAATCACTAAGGTGCCCAGGCTGGGCTCAAACTTCCCACCTCAGTCTCCCAGAGTACTACAATTACTAATAGCCATATTGTCTGGCTATTAGGGGCACCTTAATTCAAACTGTAGAGCCACCTTCCAGAGGACCTTTTTATTCGAGTTCAGAATCTCAGAGTCCTAGAAGAAAGCAAGCTTGTGACTGCAGACCCTGCTATACAAAGATGTGTGCTCACCTCCAGATGTCACTGCCTTTGGAGAACAGGGATGACCTGATGACCTCAGGGGCCATCCAGGCATAGGTGCCTGCCGCGCTCATCTTGGTGGTCCTGTGCCACTCCCTCGCCAGCCCAAAGTCTGTAATCTTCAGGGTCTTATTGCAGACATCATCATGTTCTATCTTCTCCAGCAACAAGACTAAAGGAAGAGCAAAGGTGGGATGTTTTTATATTCTGATTTTCCAGCCTCAATTTTTTGATGGCATCTAAAACACAATTACACTCTAGTTTCTGGGGTAAGTAGGAATGACCTTATATCTACCTTGTTTTTTTCTGTTTTCCAGTATTAGGAATAAAAACCCAAGGCATGCTCTACAACTAAGCTAAATCCTTAGTCCTTTACTTATTTATTATTTACTGTAACTTTGAAACAGGTCACCCTAAGTAGCTCTCATGGGACTCTGACTTTTCATATTTTATCTTGCCTTTAGCATATATGTTGTGGGGGGATTTAGGGGGGTGATTTGTGCCTGAGTTACAAGGATTTAAGAAAATCTACAAGCATGATACAGTTCACACTGTGTATTTCTCTTTATGAGAAATAAACAATTTCTAGGGATAAGAAACTTACTGAAATATCTTAGGTTGGAGCAGAAATCTGTGAAAGTTTACCCACTGTGAAAAAAACATATAGTTTTGTTCCAGGAAATTCTGTCCTAACCTAATTGGGCATCTATCCTACTGAATATATTAGAGAATATCCCCAGTGGACGATCTGATACCATAATTCATTATCATCAAGCATTATCTTCTATGAATATTCAAAATGTTCATACATATTTTAACTCATGAAGATCATTTACAAATTATAATTGCAGTCACTCAAGTTCAAAGTACAACAAAAGGTAAAAACTTCAGAGAAACACCATCCAGTCGCTGGATTCCCCAATCCTAGCAATGTCCCAATTTTCATGAGGGGTACCTCCAGGTTTGTCCCCAACTTTCCTGACCAGTGCTACAATCAGTGTGCTTTCAGGCTGCACCTGAACCTTGCCCTCCAGTCTCTCTTTCCTTGTGGCTGGTTTCCTCTGCCTGGGACCATGGGAAGTGTTCCTCAAAGCTTTGATGCAGCAGGAGGTTGCCCCTCCTTCCCCCTTGCATCCATCTCAAGGACCACAGCTAGATGAGTTTTCTTCCTGAGTGTCCTGGCACCCTTTGTCTTTCTAACTTCTGGGAACTAACTGCCAGCTCTCACACCACCATGGATAAAGCTCAAAACCACTGATAAGTGACATGGCCAGTCTCAAAGGACCAATATCTGATCTCTGAAGCAGTCTAGCGAAAGAAGTACAGGGACAGATATAGATCAGCAGTCACCAGAGGCTGAGGAAAAGGTCTGACTAGTCTGACTGAAATGGGACATAGGGGACTTCCCAAGTGGTAAGAAATTCTGTACCTTGATGACAGTAATGGCTACAGGACTATAAACAGCTGTCAAAACTTGTCAAACTGTATATTCTCAGAAGGCAAGTTCCCAGTGTATAAACCAGACCCCGATAACCTTGTACTTCATAACAAAACAAAAAACCAAAATACCTTCAGGGCTCCTGATGACTCAGGGACAATGTCCACATTCCTGCCTGGGCACCTGCATAGTGACCTGCATTTCCCACTAGACCTCACTCCTACCAAGTCTCAAGATAAAGACAAAATGACCAGGCCTAAGATAAATTGTCTAATAACAGCTGGTCCAGTGAAGACTAGATAGACGTCACCTCAGTGGATGATCATGACCTTGGACACATCCCTTCCTGAAAAGTTCTTTATTCTTTCCATCTATACTTCTTACATGACTTGCTTGGCCATTGGATAAGTATTACCTAAGTGGCTATACTTATAATCTTATTGGTTGATCACAGCCTTAACCCATGTTTTACCCATGTGGTTGTACTCTATAAAACTTCCCCTGAAAGGCTGATACCCACTTTCCAGGCTCCCTTCTGTCTCTCTTAGGTGGAAGCTATCTCTCCCTCAATAAATATTTTCTACTTTAAACCTCCTTTGTTCTTTAGAATTCCTTCTTCAATTTTGTAGAACACAAAACTAGTGTTATCAGATATCTAACAGCATGGGACTTATGTTATTTCCCCTACATCATTTAGAGGTCCTATATCATTTCCTATACCAAGCAGAAAAGCTCAAGCAGGCTGACCGGGAGGCTACAGACCTCAAAACTATCTGCACCACCTTGCTGACAACTTTTGATCAACTTCTCCCAAGAGCTTTCTTTCTCCTTTGGGAATGTCTGTCTTCTGAGGTACACAATTGCCTCCATTTCATTCTTGCTGCTGGTGAGTCACCAGGGATCCAGCAAGAGGCAGAAGGGACCAAGTGACAGGCTACATGGAGTTCAAGGTTGGACACTGTGCTTGTTTCCTTGCTTGGCCTGGGACATAGGGTGGAAGCTATAAGTTTAGATTGCAACATGGAACAGAAATGAACACAGGGAGAGTGCTCAGACTGTGCCTGAGAGGCAGCATGCCGTACCAAGTTCATGCTCACAGAGGCACACATTTCACCAATGGATGTAAAGTTGTTTTTAGTAAGTCTTCAAAACCACTGTCAGGAACTGCAGGAAATCCTGCCTGCAGTCCTTTAAGACTTTTATTTGCACTGCATTCTCAAATATTCACAATATTAGTCATAATAGTTCAAGCAATTAGAAGTAACCAACACTAGGTTTAAACATGGAGGGGTATTTGAGTAGGGACTGCCTTGATAAGTAATCAACACTGATTGTGGATACTGCTGTGTTGAAAGGATTTCCGCTCCATTTGATCTTGTATTGAAATATTTAGAGAGCCCCGAAGCTCCCGAACATTCTCATATCCATGGCAGAGATGAAGAATCAGATTTAGGTTGTTCACAGCTCATGGGTACACGGAAGCAGCAAGGTGAATCTACCACCTGTCTTAATCTCATGGCTGTATTACACAGAGAAAGAGGCAGGAAAGCAGGGACAAAAAGGTAGGAGGGAAACAGACTTCCACCAGGAGCAGCCACTTACTCTTTTTGTCTGTCTCTGCGGGCCTCTGTTTGAAGTCTAGCTTCCTCCTGAACATTCCACAAATTCATAAACTATTTTATTTTCATATTTCATGAAATTCATTACTCATCTATTATTGTGTTACTTTTTTTTTTTATCAGTACCGGGGATCGAACTCACGACTACCTGCTTGCAAGGAAGGTGTTTATGCCGCTGAGCTAAATCCCCAGCCCCGTGACTCTTTCTTTAAACCAAAGATTTCTCTAATTACGAACAAGCTACTTAATCCCAGAAACTATTTTACAGCTTCCTCAAAATCACCTAACACACGCACAATCACCTAACACAGTACCTCGTATACATCACAATGTCTGATAAAATATCTTTAATTGATGTTAATTATCACTGAAAGGATTTTGGCCCAGTTGGGATACTGTAGCCGATAAAGCCTGGAGGCAGAACCAGGGGGCTCTATCTTGAGGTCATCTTCCCCACCCCTAGGAATTTACCTGTGGTGCGAAATAAATACCAATGGGCTACCTGCCCATCACTAATGCCCCTCAGGTACCACCCCAAACCTAAACTACATGTATGCCCCTACTCCACGTGTCCAACGGAGAGAATGCCAGCCCCCTGGAGACAATGCTAGACCCTGGAGGGTCAGGGGGTCTCTCCCCACATTCTTAAAATAAAGGTCATTTATATTTCATACTTCTTATCTTTTCAGCCGCACCAGAATTCTATCATATGGTTCCCTGACTGGGAATCCAATCCTATCAATCACCAGATCTAATGAGAACACCACCTATTATTTACTGAACCTCTGCTGTCTGAGGTTTCCACACATCTAACAGCACATCCTACTAATCTGTGAGCAGAGGAGTATAATCTTCAGTTCACAGCCTCCACAGTTACCCAGGATCTGAGGGCTTCAAAGACCCTTTGAGACAGTGTCTCAAGCTGTCTTCTGGGCTATTATGTAGTCACTGGCTGTGTCAAGGGTCAAGGCAATGACAAATCTCATTCTGTGTGCTCCTGAAGAAATTAACATTTGAATGTTTCTTCCGTGTCAGCTAAAGCATATTTACTTCTCACACCTTACTCCTCATGAGTATCAAAAAAATAAACTTTTTTGAAAAAGAGCTTTAGCTCCCCAATCTTTTAAACACTATCCAGTTAACCCCCAGAAAGGATCCTGAAACAAAGGTGATTTACTTAGCTTACATTTCCCCCTTATAGTATCACTAATCTTACTTTTCAACAGTAATTGTTCCCGTCACCAAAAAAGATTAGTGATAACATGGCTTATAGATCTATAAAACTTTTCTGAAACACTTCAATTCTCATATACACCCAGATAAGGAGGCCAGGTTAAAAATGGCATCAAAAACTAGGCACAGTGCCACACGCCTGTAATCCTAGCACTCAAGAGGCTGAGTGAGGCAGGAGGATTGTTACAAGTTCGAGACCAGCCTGGGCTACAAAGCGAGCTCAAGGCCAGCCTGAACTGCATGGTAAGACCCTGTCTCAAAAAGACAAACAAACAAACAACAACAACAACAAAACTAGCATCAAAACAGTTTCAATCTCTTGCCCCAAGCTGCTGGACACACACCACCAGGGTTGTTAGTCCTCAAGATGCAAAGACTAGAAAAGCAGCTCAAAAATAAGTAGAGAGAGAACTAAAGAGTGAGAACTGAAAAATCGTTCTTTCTCCCTAAGCAATTCCCCTGCCGCTTGGGCTGAAAGGTGCTGGTCTCCAGAAGCTGTAGAATGCAGTCCCCCTGCTCTGGACCAGTTTCCTTAGGACCTGAGACTCCACACTTCAGAGCTAACAGAAAACAAGTTAAAATAACACCTGAATGTTAAACATTTAGGGCTCCAAGAAAGGCCCATTGTCTGGGATTCTGTTTCAGAGGTGCTGGGCAGAATTCCTGAAATTCCTTATCTTTTGGGCAATGTGACTGAAACCACAAATAACCTTCTCACAACAGGTTATACAGTTGGTGCCAGGCCAGGTTTCCACTAAGGACAAAGGTGTGGCCACCGTCCGCCTCCACTCAGGGAGGCAGGAAGGGCCAGGGAACACCAGCAGCCTTCCAATCGGTGGAGAAAGCTGGACGGGTGAGTCAATTTATCAATAGGCCACAGCA